CATTGGATCGTGCTTGGTTGTTGCCCACTATGTTTAGGGGAGTTCAGCACGTATCAGCGCTCATCGAAATGCATTTTTACCCTCTATTAAATTCAGTTCGCCTGGAGTAAAGTTCTACATCTTAATCAATTCAGCCGGGATAAATTACTTTGGGGCGATTGGCTCTGGTCAGAATTTGATTCCGCTTAAGTGAAGTACGGTGTCTAAACCGGTTAAATCGTAAATATTGTATTGGCTTCAATGTAATTGTGTCAGTTTTTAGGGCATGCGGGAAACCTGGACTGCAGTGGTTTCTTTTTTCACTCAAGAGGGATGTCGACTCACCTTTCAAAACCGCTTATCTCAGGTCGGAACCTCTCGACTTTAATATGAGTAGCTTTGCGTCAGATGACAATAGTTAGCCCATGTTATCATAAGTTGTGATTTTCAGTGGACCTTAGCTTTGGACCCTAATCATATGTGGTGTTATCTTTAATAGAATAGCACTGGGGTAATGTAAAGCGCCTTTTTATAAATTCATTTTAATTCTTTTTTGCAGAATATTTGCTGCTTTAATGGGCGTTTACTTAGGATCGACTACTACTGGCCATCCAAGGTGGCTAATAGACGGAATTTGGAAATACGAGATCATCAGTCTGTGCAAAGGTTCATTTTATCGCGTGAATAGGAGTCCTTTATCAATAACCACCACAATTGGTTACAGTCCACATACTTCTTACAACCGAGTTCTCTGACCGTACTAAAAAATAGTAGTCAACGTTTGATGTACTTCTGCTTCAAAGTGACGGTTTTAGATTCGAATCTAAGCATACCTTAGATTTGGATTGAACAGGGAGGGTTTTTTTACAGTATTGACTACAGACTGAAGAGTGGGAAAACAAACGATACCTGAATAACGAATCCGTGTTGAGTATAGCAGTCATGGCACTCAGGCCGCTTACAGTTTCTAGCTTTGTTTTGTAAGTTTTGATTTTCAATGCACTTCTTGGTTGCTATAAGAACAGAATCTTAGAAGGAAATTAAAATCAGATTTCTCCACATTTATGTTTTGACAATAATTTGTTTACACTTTCCAGATCAATTGATATTAACACAGATCACAATAGCCAATGAAGCTTTCCTAGTACCATCAAGATGGCCAAAAAAAAAGAAACCCTGCAGAGCCTCGAGAAGAGCAAGGGAAGCAATATTGTTTAAAAACTGGAATCCCCTGCAATTAAGAGAAAAGGTAACTTTGTTATGTATTCTCTCAATACCCCATTAGGTGCATCGATGTACTGCGTTCGTATAATATGATAATAGGAGAGAGTATTGGTGCAGGCTCAACCTTTCTTGAAATTCAAAAATGTGTTTTTGACCTCAGTGACTCAGATTTAAGGAACTAACACTCTTACAGTATAGTAGAAAGCAGGAAAAGTGTTTGCGTTAACATTGTTAACAAAAATAGGATTAACTGATATGAGGATGTTCGAAATTTGGTTTTATTTTTGGTCTTGTTTGTTGTCTTTTAATGAGTCCATATATGAACTCGGTAAGTGTTGGATAAAAAATTCCACCATGGAAAGGAGAAGGAAGGAAAGAAAAGTTAATTTAGTGACCATAATGTCCATTCCGTTACAGATTCCAAAGATGAAAAGAAAAAAAAAAATCATGTATTCAGGGAACCGAGTGATCTTTGTTGCGATGCGAAGACAACTTTGAGGACCTCCTAAAAGAAGTGTTGTGGTTGGACAAGCATAACCCACCTGAGTATAGTTTCAAGGATGTTCGCCAGAAAAACTATAAAATCAACTGGCAACTTTGTGAGAACTTCCCTGGCGCCTTCAGGCCACCGTACACACCGTATGGACTTTGGCTGTTTAAAAAAATCAACAAAGGTTAGTACGTGATGTGATTTCCAGTGCTGATTGTTTGGAACGCAGAAAATTCTTTATAAAGATCAGAATTCCAAATATGGAATCCTAACTGTTTATGGATACAGGCGACCAAAATCCATTACTCTGGAAATTACAATAAAGAGAATTAAAACCCATGATCTATCAGGAAGTATGCGTCTCAGTGTGATTTGTAATGACGGTACCGGATCAGCACTTAAGTCTATAGCTTGGATTACGGATTCCCGAGTAAGGAAGGAAACTTAAAAGAAATGACTCGAAGCACTCTTTGCAGCTGAAAAATTTGGATTGTCTAATAATAATAATGTTAATCATAATAATAATGATGGTGACAATGACGATGACAATGACAATGACAATGATAATGACAATGATAATGATAATGACAATGACAATGACAATGATAATGACAATGACAATGACAATGACAATGACAATGACAATGACAATGACAATGACAATGACAATGACAATGACAATGACAATGACAATGACAATGAC